ATCAGCATATAAATAAATTCTTATGTAAGAATATAAGAATAGTCATAATTATGTAGGCTCTGCTACAGACTCCAGACAGTAGCCCTAAGCAGATGGGAATAGTAAACACAGAAAAAGCTTATATCCACTGTAATGTTTCCCCAAACTCATACTATTTAAATTCATCTCTAAATAATTGAATTAATGTTAATAGTTATATGAATAATTAATTATTTATACATTATTAACTAATGTATAAATTAAGAATTAACTAAGAATTTTAATGTCTCTTTTGTAATCCCCACTGTGTTCTGAATACTTGTTCAGGCTCCTTTTGAATTCCTGTAAAATTCTTGCAACCACAGCATTCTCCGCCAAGGAACTTCAGGTGTCACCCACCATTGTTCTTTTTGAAGCCATGCTCTTACTAATATCATTTGATGATCCGTAGTTCTTGTACAGAAAGAGAAGTGTGCAAAATCAATTTTTATCCCTGTCTAACTTTCTCATGTCATGTATGCTTTTGTAAACCTCTGTCATATTCTCCTTAAGAAGGCTGGACAATGCTTCCAGTCAGACCCTGCAGGTCATCCTTGCTGTCCTGAACAGATTCTGGGCCTAACATGTCCTTTTTCAGTTGGAAAGTCCAGAGTTGTCTACCCTACTCAAGGTTTGGGTGAACTGTGATTTTCTATGGTGACATGTCAGCCACTTTGTTCTCTACTCCTTTCCTAAGAATTCACTGTTTTACTTGCTTTCTCAACTGCTCTCAACCACTGTGAGTAGAGGATGATTCTGTTAGCAGAGGGAGGATATCATGAATCATGTTTTGAGAACAGTCTAATATGAGATTCAGTTAGAGCTAAATCACTTGTCATATCAAATCTTCATCCAAAGTTTTGGGTTCTGCCGTTTCATACCATCGTAGAATCAGAATACTGTTCTAGTGTGACAATTTGAGACAATCTGAGGCAATTCAGTTTGCATCCTTTCCTGAAAGAAGTCGTTGTTACAGGCATCTGTTTTCAGAGGCTGTCTCCTGCAAAGTGAAGGAGGCCTGGCTTCCTTTTCCATCCCTCTTTAAATCAGATAATGTAAAAATGTATCATGGAATTAGCATCCATCTTTATATTATCCCAACAATCAGACAATAAACTTTTAATATCTGCTAATTTTCCCCTATGACATTTGAACTTCTAGTGCAAAGCCACCTTGCAGTATTCGTTCTTAGAAAGAGTTAAATCCTGTTGAAAAGCTAACAAGTGGAAATAGGAATCTTCAACAGCCAGACCCTCTCCTCCGAACTCAAAATCTTTTGAATACTGATAGCTTGAAAAGATGTGTTTAAGAGCAAATACCTTTAGATGACAGCCACACCTGTAGCCTAATGAAATTTATAAAGATTTGTAAAATTTGCATACTTTAAGAAATCATTGTGTTCAACTGTATTTACCCCAACTTTCTTGTCTCTCAATAATGGGAATTTTTGCAGTTACCGAGAATTATTTCAAGAATTACAAGCCAATATTTATGCTTTTCTGCTTTTGTTTTGTTGTGTTTTTTCCCCCCCAAGACTGTAAAGGTGTAGAAGAACCAGGCGTAAACCTTGGTAATAGAACGGTTTGCAACAGTATCCTTGGGCAAGAATCCTAAAAACAGTCTGTCTGCCAGAGTGCTAAATCTCATTGAGAAGAGTGAAGAATTAATCGTAAAAAGCAACTTAGTCACAAAATAATTCTTCATTTTCACTCTAATAGTTACTTACATTTTCCAGCATCGTATGAATAGAATTTCTTTGCAAGCCTTATATATTCATCCTCATTTACTAGGCAGACTGCCATAACGATATTTAGCTGTTGAAGACACTTGTAAATTTCTGAAAGGTAACTCATAAATGCAGCATCCACGTAGAGCACAAATGTAAAAAAATTCTTGCAAATAAGTCAGGAGAAGTCATTGTTAGAAGTGTTTCTATAAGATTCTGTAGCAGCTGTTGAAGGACTATTTGTATCCAGTTGCTTCATCACTTGTGCTTTGTGCAAACTCTAAAGTTAAAGTTTATGACTACTGTGCAGATGCACCATGAATAATAATTTACAAAAAAATTATTCTCATTTGTTAAATTTGGAAATATACTTTCTTTTGGCCCTAATTTTCAGATTCTAAATGGCAGCTGAAGGCAAGAAGAAATAGCATGTAATTGATTTAACAGCCTAAGACAAGTACAGGGAAGTAGAGAAGTTTGTCTCTTAGTGCTTGATGTGACCTGAGAGAGCTTCTTTAGACATTTTTTTTCTAAACAGTACCTCAGCACCTTGGGCCAGCAAAGTGGCCTTTAAGCCTCAATGAGCATGACTTTTTTTTCTCAGTGCAAAGCTCCAGCATTTCATCTTTTCAATCTGTTTTACAGCACTCAGAGTGGAATTATATTGACAGGGTTAGAATTCATCTCCTAGAGGAGAATACTGTGCTCCTCCTGTTAAGTGCTAATATAACATTTATGTGTTGGTACCTTAATAATAGCCCTGGCTAGCCTAATGAAAATACTGAAAGCAAACAGTACTCAGTGAGATTTTATTATGACTGAAGTGACTGCAATTTGAGACAAATTATCCCTATTTTTGTTCCCATATCAAAACCAGAAATGCTAAAGCAATTGCTACATGTTTGGTTTAGAATTAGACTCCACTATTGTTAATATAGAAGTGCATTTTTCATGAAAACAGCTCACAAGGGTCAAGCGTCAAAGATATTCTGTGCAAAAGGCTTGTCAATAACTCTGGGAGTGAATGTTGAAATAAAGTGCCAGTAACCTGTCATTATTTCTTCCTCTCAAAGTTGAGAGCAACTAGATGAACTGGATGAAAATTGAGCTTGTGAATTGAAGGTACGGAGTTGTATGGTCTTATCGACTTTAGGCAAAATGATAAGTTTGCCTAGTTATTATTTTTCCTTTCAGAGGTCAGGCAATGGACAATATTGCCAGTATATACTGCCCTGTAAGCAAATTGGTTTTTTTAAAAAATATTATCTGTGTACAGAAAGAAGATGGTGTAAGTAACTAATATTAAAAATGCTTAGTATATTGTCTCGCCATAAAAATGGAGGAAAAAAATCAGGAAAAAAGAAAAAAATCTGCTGGCCAGAATAAGCATTTGAAGTGTTCCACTATTTGAGCAGTTATTCAGGAAAAAAAAAAATGTGTTCAGAGACCTGATAAGTTAATGTAAATTCATATTTTTTGAGAGTATATATTTCTTAAAATGGAATTGCTTTCCATAAATAGACCTTATTTTATACATAATAGGAGCATGAGTATACAAGTATCTAAAGGGTGGGCACAAGGAAGATGGAGACAGGCTCTTCTCAGTAGTTCCCAGTGTCAGAATGAGAGGCAACAAGAGTTGGAACATAGGAAGTTCTATTTAAAAGAGGAAAAACTTCTTTACAGTGAGGATGACGGGGCACTGGAATAGGCTGCCCAGGAAGGTTGTGGAGTCTACATCTCTGGAGATATTCAAAACCTGCCTGGATGCAGTCTTGTGTCATGTGCTCTAGGTTATCCTACTTCAGTGGGAGAGTTGAACTAGGTGATCTCTAGAGGTCCCGCCCAACTGTAGTGATTATGTGAGTATATGCATTTAAGTATAAGGTAACAGCAAACCTAGATGTATGTACTGATTTTGGCTGGGATGGAAGTAACTTTCTTCATAGCAACTTGTGTGGTGCCACGGTTTGAATTTGTGACCAAAACAGTGCTGATAATGCACCAGGATTTTTTATTATTGCTGAGCAGTGCTTACACAGGCTCAAGGCCTTCTCCCTTTGTCACATTGCCCTGCCGGCAAGTTGGCAAGGGATGCACAAGAAGATGGGAGGGTACACATCTGGGACATCTGCCCTCAACTAACCAAAGGGACATTCCATACCATGTAATATTATATTCAGCCATAAAAACTAAGGGGAAGGGTCTTAGGATGGATAGCCATTGCTCACAGTCTTGCTGGGTATCAGTCAGCAGGTGGGAAGCTGTTGAGTAATAGCTTTTGCATCACTTGCTTTGGCTTTCTCCTTTCTTCTTTCTTTGGTCTTAATAAGCCATCTTTATCTTGATCCACATGTTTTCTCACCTGTGCCATCAAGGAGGGGAGGAATAAGGAAGCAGCTGTGTGGTGCTTAGCTGCTGGATGGAATCAACCCACCACAGTGTATTTTTCCTAGTTTAAAGCTCTAAGGTTGTTTTTGTTTGTATTCACATGAAAAAAGGATTGAATATATAGCAACGATACAGGGACAAGATAATTATTTTATTAACTTATCTTGGGTTTGTTAAGATTCAAAGGTAATGCTATTAATGCACATGAGTACAATTGATGTGGGTTGAAATTACTACAAATTCATTAT